GTCACAAGGCTGCCACGTGACCAGTCGTCACAGGGATGCCCCATGGTTAGGGGTCACATGACTACCACACAGCCAGTGCTCACAGGGCTGCCACATGGCTGGTGCTCACAGTGCTGGCACACGGCCGAAGGATCACAGGGCTGCCACATGGCCAGGGGTCAGGGTTACCACATGGCTAGGGGACACAGGGCTGCTACACGGCTGGGGGTCACAGGGCCACTACTTGGCCAGGGGTCATGGAGCCACCACACGGCTGGGGTTTGTATACAGATTCCAGAGGAAGGAAGCACTGGTAGAAAAGGGAACTGACAGCAAAAATGGCACTGACCAAGGAGAAGGTGGGCGATGGCCAAGCAGACAGGGCAGGGACAGAGCACCCCCAAGCAGAGGGTGGAGGGCCTGTCCCATTGAGGAGGGTGCGGCCTGCTCGGGGGCCACAGTGACTCAGCAGGGCCACAGTCTAAGGTGTTGGGCAGGTGGGGGCTGGCCCCCCATTGTGAGGTCCAGTGGAATGCTCAATTCAAGTGGGCCCAGCCCAGCTGGTCCCTCCCCTTCTAGCCCCACTGGCACTCTGCCCTGGCCTGTCCCAGGGAAACCCGGGGGCTGTCACCCACAAAGTCCAGAGAGGTCATGAGGACACGGCCTCTCTCGGCCCCCAGAGCTCTCTAAGTAGACAGTGCTGAGACATGGGAGCACCACGAGGACTGAGCATCTGGAATCGGGCGTCGGGAAGCTCTTGGAACCAGGAGAGGGATGCAGTGCAGTTTTGGGGTCTTAAAGGACTAATGTCAGGAGGGTCAGGAGCTGGGGGACAGAGATCCAGGGGTCCTGGGGAGGTGGGCCTGGTGAGGCTGTATCAGACACGGGCAAGCCGAGCTGCAGGGAGCCAGGTGCTCAGAGGGCTGGGGCCGGCAGTGCAGGCCAAGCAAGACCCTGAGGGCCTGAGGTCAGAAGAGTCCACAGTCAGGCATCTCAGCCAGAGTGTCCCCAGGAGGACGCCAACAGACTCACCAGGCTAGCCTGACATCTGGGAGGGAAGCAGGGGTGAATTTTCATTGTCTACCTGACAAACTCTTCACCACCTACCACCCTGGCCCAGGCATGTTGCTGGATGCTGGGGGTCCCCAGGTCTGGGGCACAGTCCCTGCCCGCACAGTAAAAGGAGCAAAGCAGAGACCCTCAGTAAGTCCTCCGACAGGGAGGGACCACCTGCCAGGACCCAGCAGGCAGCACCCAGGGGACAAAAGGTGGCTTTCAGGAGGAGCATCTTGAGAGTAAGGCCAGCCGGACATTCCTGGCACAGGCCAGGCCATGCACAGGCCTAGAGGCATGGGTAGCTGGGCCTGGCAGCTGCTGACCTCACAATACTAGCCCACTGGGCTGGCCTTGCCAGCCCTGAGTCCACTCAAGCCCGGGCCTTGCCCGGGGCCCTGGGCAGCCTCCAGGTGCAGTGCCCGCCCTGGGCTGCCCCCTCCACGCCCCAGGGCATGTCTCTGCTCACCAATTATGAAGGGTTGCGGCATCAGATCGAAAGGCTAGTGCGGGAAAATGAGGAGCTGAAGAAGCTGGTCCGTCTCATCCGCGAGAACCACGAGCTCAAGTCGGCCATCAGGACCCAGGCGGGTGGCCTGGCCATCAGCGGGCTTGGAGAGGCAGCCACTGGCCCAGCACCACGCCAGGGCAACTGTAAGAGGCCTGCGTGCAAGGACAGTGGGAGGGAGGGGTGCGGATGAGCCAAGAAGCAAGTCGGTGGGTTGGGGCTGGGACCTCCCCAAGAGAGGAACAAGCTGACAGCTGACAGGTGGTGGCCCCCTGGAGAAGAGGGTCAGGACACAGGGCCATCCAGACAACAGGACAAAGCTCCACCCCAATCCCATTCACCTCCCGGGAGGCCTGCTCGAATCCCAGCCCTGAGCGAAACTTCCAAGGAGCTCATAGACGGGGCATTTCCCAGCCCTGGAATCCAACTGTCCCGCCTGCTGGGCCCCATGTGTCTCTGACCCTAAACCTCCCCAGCCCTCCCCTCCCAACCTCCTCTATCCCTCAGCCCCTCTCCACACTGCCCTGTCACTGCCCAACTGGGAGACAGTCAGTGGGCGATGAGGATACAAGTCTAGAAGCAGGAGGAAAGGCAGGACTGAGAACCATAGGCAACGGGGGAAGTGCTGAGCAGGGTGGGAAGGAAGGAAGGCCGGGGCAAGGCAGGGGTCTGCAGAAGAGCATGGGCTGGTGGCCCCCGGTGTGCCCGGAGTGTGCTCACAGGGGCTGTGCCCAGAGAACGGAGGGCCTCTGGGGCAGCAAGGCTGAGATGGGGCTAGGTAAGCCCGTCGAGGCTGAGCAGGGGTGCGTGGTTGGCTGTGTGCACCCCTTGCAGTGGCCCTCCTGTCCTCTGGAAGCGAACTTCTCCATGCCCCCTCAGGAGCCCCTTGTAACGCAACTCCACCAGTGCCCCCAGCTGTCCTCTGGGCGAGGCCTGCAGCCCTGGGCAGTTGGCTGGGCCTCTCCATCTTTTCCACTCTGCCTGGTCCCTGCCAACCCGAGCTCTGCAGATGGCAGAGAGCACCAGGGAGCAACCTTGTCAGCCTCTGTGTGTTGCCCAGTAACCCCTCCTCTGCACCCTCTTCTCTGAGCAGCCACACACCACACACCACACCCACCTCAGGGCACTGGCTTCAGCCCCTGCCTCTCTGCCCTAGGCCAGCCCGGCCCTCAAAGCATCACCCCTCTGGGAGGCCCCTGGCCCAGTGAGGGCCTGGAACTTAGCTGGCTCCAAAATAGATGTGTTTCTGACAGAGCACTTGGGCCATCCCCCTGGGGGCTCAGGCCCCTGGGGTCTACCCTCATCCCTCCTCTCCAGTGTCCAGGCTTAAAGCCTTCTTCACTCCCCACAGCAGCCTCCGCCTGGCTCCTCGCTACCCATCCCAAGTTCAAAGACATAGGCCATTTCCCTTTTCAAGGTTATACCAACTGTGAGCCGACAGACAGGGCAACCAAGAGAACACATGTGGGGGAGGCACAGTGTTCAAGGACTCTCATTTAAGAAACCAGACTCTGGGCTAACGGAGTAAGCCTTCTTGTTTGGACTCTTAAGGGAATCTTCAAACCACTTCCCATCCTGTCTTGTCCTGGGCCCAAGCACCCTGCTGAGGCCAGGTTCTGGGGTGGAGTCACAGTGGAAGAGGGCACTGCAGGGGGAGGACCTGCTCGGGCAAAGCCTGGAAGTGGGAGTGACTGAAACGACAGTAGATCAATGTGGTTAAACTCGAAGCTGTGTGTGTATACACACGTGTGCTAAGGGAGAATGTGTGGGAGTGGGGTGTGTGCACAGTATGTGTACATGGGCAAGGTGTGTATAGTGTGTGTACGTGTGTGTGGAGTATGTGTATGTGTATAGAGTGTGTGTGATATGTGTATGTGTGTGAGGGGTGTGTGGGAGTACGTGGTACATGTATGTGTGTGTGGTTTGTACACATGTGAGGTGTGTGAAGTATGTGGAGTATGTGTAGTCTATGTACATGCGTGAGGTGTGTAAGGGAGTATGTGTGGCATGTGTAGGTGTGAGCTGTGTGTGGCAGTGCATAAGTGTGCGTTTTATGTGTGTTTGTGATATGTAGAACTGTATGGTGAAATGGGTGGAAGTGTGTGGGAATATGTGTATGTGTGTGGTATGTAAGTGTGTGAGGTGAGTCTAGAGTGTGTGTGGTATGTGTATGTATGTGTGGAGTATGTGTGGTATGTGTATCATGTAAAGTGTGTGATATGTATACCTGTGTGTGGCATATGTGTATTACATGTAGTCTATATACACATGTGAGGCATGTGGAGTATGTGTGGTATGTGTAGTCTATGTACACATATGAGGTATATAAGAGAGTATGTGTGGCATGTGTATGTGTGAGCTGTCTGTAGCAGTGTTTGTATGTGTTTTATGTGTGTTTGTGATATGTAGAAATGAATGGTGAAATGGGTGGAAGTGTGTGGGAATATGTGTATGTGTGTATGAGTGTGGAATGTGTGAGAGTGTGGCTATATGGATTTTTGAGTGTGTCTGTGCTCTGACTGTATCTGTGAATGTGGGTTAAGTGTGTAAATTGTGTGGTATGTGTGTTATCTGTGAGTGGGGCATGTGAGTGTGTTTGAATGACTGAGAGTATGGGTGAATGTTTGTGAATTGTGCATGTAAATGTGTATGGAGGTGTGTTTGTGTAAGTGTGAGTGCAGTGAATGTGTTTCTGAGTATGAGTGAGTGTACATGTGGCTATGAAGTATGTGTGATGAATGTATGTGGTGTGTGTGTATGTGTGGAAAGGTGGTGTGTGTGGGGAGTGTTGTGGTTTGTGTAAGTGTATAAAGTGTTCATTGTGAGGTGTGTGTGGGAGTGTGGTATGTGTGGAGTAAGTGTGGTATGTTAAGCATCCAAAGAAGGTGCATACAAAGTGAGGGTGTTTTAGTGTGTGGAGTGCCTGTGAGAGTGAGTATGAGCATGTATAATTGTTTATGTGGTGTGCCTGGTGTTTGTGTTGTGTGTGGTGTGTGTATACGAGTGTATATGTGTATAATCGTTTATGTAGTGTGTCTGGTGTTTATGTTGTGTGTGATATGTGTATATAAGTGTGTGTGAGTGTGTATAATTGTTATGTGGTGTGTGTGACATTTGTGTTTTGGTATATGGTGTGTGTGTACCTAAGTGTGATTTACGTGATAGTGAATTTGAGTGTGTGTGAACATGTGTCAGGTGTATGTGGCGCATGAGTTTTGTGGTGTGCATGAATATGTGGATGTGAGTGTATGTGTATGGGAGTGTTTGGGTGTGAGAATGTGTGGTATGTATGTGTTTCGGTGTGTGATGTGCATGTGTTCAGGAATGTGCTATGTGTGTGTATGGGAACGTGCTATTTGTGAATGTGTGTGGGTATGTGATTGTGTATCACTGTGTCACAGCATATAAGTGAGTATATTTGGTGTGAGTGATGTGTGTGGTGTGAGTGTGTATTGGTGTGGTGTGAATGTAGTAAATGAGTTGTATGGTGTGCATGAGTGTGTGAGTCAGTGGGGGGGTGATTGTGAGTGTGTGTGTTTGTATGTGAGTGGCCCAGTGAGTGGTGAGTGATGCAGCTAGAGAGCTAGAGGGGTGAGCAGGGGTCCGAAAGACTGTGAATGACATGCTAAGGAGCTTGGACTTGACCTTAGAGGCGATAAGCAGACCCTGGTCTCAAATAGAGAGCAGCATGCTACTGTGGAAGAAATGGATTCTGAGACCGGGGTGAGGCAAGGAGATCAGTTAGACTGAGGCTCAGTAGGAGATGATTGTGGCATGAACTAGATGGTGGAGAGACATTAAGTCAAGTTACTTAGCAAGAAAAACAGATGTCCTAGCTGCTAGGAAGTGGAAAGTGAAGAAGAGAGGATCCAGAGGTCTGAAGCCTGGCTGGGGTGACACTTCCAAGATGGCAGGACACACTGTGCCCATCCCCAGCAAAAGTGGATCCCTGTACAGTGCCTCTTTCTCTGACCACTTCCTCATCCTGGGTGCTTACGTTGCCCATTCCTTGTGACGGGCCTTCCTCTTGGGGTCGAACTCTTCTCAGTTTGCCCTGAGAATTGAACTGGGCCTTCAGTTCCCCTCATTCTGGGCCCACTCTTCTCCCTGTGCTCTTGTGCACATTCCTACCTCCTAAGTCCCCTAGTCCAGAGCTTGGGCCCAGCCCATTCAGTAGGCACACAGGAGGCAAGGCAATGGGAAGTGTGGTCACAGCAGGGATACATGGGCTGTGGGGGCTCACAAGTGTGTGTGCCATGTCCATCACAGTTCAGGGCTGAGCTCAGGTCAGGAAGACAAGGGTGCAAGATAAGGGTCAGGTCTGGGGCTCACTGTCCTCCTGGGATAGAACTCCAGGAAGTCCAGGACTTCTCAGTTCCATCTGAGACAATCTTTCACGTTGTTACAAAAGTGTATTAGGGTAAGGATAGGACATAATACAACAGTTTGTTACTTTGACTGAAAATTTTTATTCTGACATATGGTATGTGGGCCTCCATTTCCCAGGGTCCTGCAAATGTTAAGGGTGATCCTGAGAGGAGGAAATGGAGCTTTGGAGGAAGAAAAACAGTTGCATTTTGGACAAAACCCCATTGCTGTCAAGTCGATTCTGACTCATAGCAACCCTATAAGACAGAATGGAACTGCCCCATAGGTTTCCAACAAGCTGATTTAAAAGACATCCCCACATCCATGTGGAGTGTCCAGGAAGCAGTGGTGGTATAAGCCTGAAGCTCAAAGGAGATGTCAGGGCTAGAGATTCAAGAGCTGGTGATAGGTGAAGCCGCAGGAAGGGGTGAGACTGTGTGGGAAGAGTGTACAGTAAGAGGAAAAGAGGGCTGTGGGGCAGGTCCCAAGTGAGGGCAGGCAGAAGAAGCAAGGGAGACTTCAAAGTAAGGAAAGGGAAGTCAAGATGCAGCTTCAGAGGCTAAGAGGTCAAGCCAGTACTGAGTGCCCACTAATGACCTTGGGTAGGGTGACTGCAATACTGAGGTGTGGGAACGGCAGGTCAGGCAAGAGTGAGGTAAGAGTGAGTGAGAAAACGGAGCGTACAGGTGGTGCCATTAATCCAGGAAGCTTGGCCACCAGCAGAAGAGAGAGGGCAATAGCTAGAGGCAGGAAGTCTAAAGTTTCTTTTCAG